CGCCCCACCCCGACATGCTAATCACCAAAACCACCGACACCGCCAACCACCCGGCCGGGCCCGCCCCGACACGGCCGCTAAAGTGGAGTGGATGTGGTCACGTAAACCTTTAGCGATCTTCGGTCAGTTTACACAAGGTGGAGAGGGGACGAGTAGGGAGGGGGGAGGGCGGTTGCCGGTGGTACGGTAGTTGTGGTGGTGGTGGTGGTGGTCGGAACCCCCGCAGTAGCGCTCACACGAAACAAGCGAGGGAGTTTAAGGAAGGGCGGAGGGGAAACAATAAAAAGGAAGAAAATTACCGACACGCGCGTCGGACGCGCGCGGCTGTTTGAACTGACTGTGGAATATAAACGCACAGGGGAGAAAATGTAGGTCAAAGCCACACGCGAAAAGTAAGGACCTCGCCGCACACAGTGTGCAGTGCGCTCTGCCCAAATCAGCTGCGATGGTGAAGCCTTAGGGATCATCTAGCAATCATGCCCGTCATTCGACGTTACGTTCGAAACCGTCAAGTTTAGCCTGTGCAAGCTCTCATAACGCCTAATGGGTAGGCAACATCCCGCCTGAAGTGCACGCGTGTGATGCGGGGCGGCCTACCCTGAGTCTTGCAGGCGGCATGCTTCCATAAGTTGACGAACGAACCTGAAGCTGAATAAACAGATGTACTTTCCGGACGTTCTCTTATGCATGGCATCACGCTTCCGATTGAACGCACGCAGAGACGGTCAATTCATTTTTCGTGGTATGAAACTAAAATAGTTTACCTTTACTAGTGTTTGCGCGATACACGGTAAAAACAATGTCTGTTTTTTGTGTGTTTTTTAAGTAAAAGAGGAAAACTTCGGAGAAATTCTATACCGCAACTGGCTCGGATTTCTGAGACCTTATCAAAAACCGATGGAAATTTCCCACACAACATCTGAGGAGTTGTCATTAATTTATAGGAGTTTCTCAGCAGTTGTCCCCATTTCCTGAACAAAAATAAGACATTTTTTATACCGTGTACAGAGTTTAATTAAATTTCAGTGCCATGATTTTTATTTTTCAACGCTTCAGAGCATTAGCATTTAGCACACTTAGATGCTTCTCTGTGTGCACCTCGCGTAAACTTCCCGCCGTGTCCTTTCTCTTACCGTCTCTCTCTCTCTCACTCACTTGCCCACACACACACAGTCTCGCCTCTCGGGCCCGCCTATGCGCCCGTACCGTGACCTCTCACTTACCACCACCGGGCACACCGCGCGCGCGCGCGGGTCAGCGGGACACACAAGGGTCGGCCTCGGCGGTTGTAAAGTACGTACTCGGCGGGGCCCGGACAGGACAGCGAGCGCGGCGCGCGTGCAGTTTTAAGGTTATTATTATGATTTCCTGGCGCAGTAGTACAAACCGGTTCCCTTTGCAAAGAGTGCGGGCGAGAGCGAGAGAGAGAGAGAGAGAGCAGCGGGGCGCGCCGTGCAACACAGACAAACACTCCACATGGCGGGTGGGGGCGGGAAAGGTCAGTACCGCAGCCCCGCTAGCCCTGCCCTGCCCTGCCCTGCACTGCCAGGCCCCGCCCCTCGCCCCCCGGTGGCAAACAGTAAAGCACGCTTAGCTAGAGTGCTGTACCACCAGACCGTCCAGCCGGCTGGGCCGGACGGGCCGGGCGACGGCAGGCCAGCGAGGCCCCACCTAATCCAATCCCCTTCCGAGCCGCCCCGCCGCGCCACGCCGCGCCCCACCGCGCTCCGCCGCTCGCCGCGCCCCGGTGGCTGACGGCCCCGCCGGGGCCCCCGTGGACATGCGGTATAATCACCCAGCCAGATTGCTGCCCGCCTGAAATTAAAAAGCGGAATTGTTCTCCGGCGCGGAATGGTCCGCTTGCTGCTATGCCAGGCGGGGAGCGACAGAGCGACACCAGCAGAGGGGAGAAGCGCGTGCGAGAGCGCTAGGCACGGCAAACAGAAATGAGATGATCAAAAAAATAATCAAACTCATTCTAGCTTATCCACAAGGGCCAGGTATCAGGGAGGGCCAAACAAAAACGACGTCCCTCTGTAGAAAATGAGTTGAAATGCGGTTGCCTCGTCGTAATAGAGGTATTACCGGGTATTACCATGAATGAAAGATGAGTTGGAGAATTTGAGGCAATATTCACCAGGTGGGCGCAACCAGATTTTGGGTTTTCTCGGTTTTCTGAATAAACCTTTGTCGTAGTTTTGTAGATTTTCATTGGACGAGGACACGCCGTGAGGGTGAGGGTAGGCAAACCACATGACAGCCATGTGCGCCGAGAAGTCCAACATAACAGCAACGACGGCAACGGCGGCAACGGCGTCATCGCGGGTGGTGGCGGCGGTGCAAGTGCATCACCACACCACACCGACGCCGTCGTCGTGACTTAACCATACACTGAACGCGACCACGTCGCGGAAAGGAATATACGACACGACTTCCCAGAACATGTCTCATATCATCTGCACCTCATTCATGCCCGTCCGACATGTAGCCAGGGTGGGCCGCCGACTCGTGACCGCACCCTAAAACGTGTACGCGTGACGCGCGCTCGGGTGCAGCCGCGGCCAGGCCGTGTAGGCCGTGCAGGCCGTGCAGGTCGTATGGCGGTCCCGACCGCAACGCGCAGCCGCGCAGCCCCGACCGCACGGTCATGAGCCGAGCGGAGCTGTGCAGGGCGCGCGTCATGTTCGTGCGGCCACCACCTGCATGACGCCCCGTCCAGCACCCCGACACGGCAACGGTCATCATGAGCTGTTCATGGTGGCATGTCATGCGGCGTGACTTTAGCAGCATGGCGCCATTATGACGAGGCAAAGGCGGAGGAGGGACGGGGGGGATAAACGGAGAGAACTATCGTGAATATATGGCTAGCGCATGTGTACGGAGGAGGGGACCCGTTTCTTAGAAAATACCATACACCATCGGCACGCAAGAGAGGAGGCGATCCTCCAAGTGTCGTGTCGTGACCCACGTCCTTTATCGGCGCGAGTCCCGCCCCGTCGCAGTCAGGAGGAGGAGGGCCCGCTTCCGCATTGGCTCCGCGGTGCGCACCGTAGATCAGCAGTCAGCTCGAAAGTCAGCTCAGCAGATAGCTCGACAGTCAGCTCGGCAGTCAGTGAGTCAGCTCGGCAGTCAGCTCGACAGCCAGCTCGGCAGTCAGCTCGGAAGTTAGCTCAACAGCTCGACAGTCAGCGAGTCAGCTCGGCAGCCAGCTCGAAAGTCAGCTCGACAGTCTACTCGACAGTCAGCTCGCGGGGACAGCCGACAGCACAGTCATGCCGCCGGTCAGTAAACCTCGAGCGTTGTGTGTGTGTGTGTGTGTGAGTTGCTGAGCGTCGGCGGCGGCGGGCGCGACGGGAGGAGCAAGGAGAAGGGGGGCGCTCGAGTGACATAACCGTATAGTGATGCGCTAACGAGACGCTAACAGCAAGGCTAACAGCTGGCAATCTCTTTGAGGTCTGGGCTGCTCGCGGGGTGGAGGTGGAGGGAGGTGGAGGGAGG